GATAATAATATCGCGACAATTGTGAAAACATTTACACTTTTTATTTGAAGAAACTTATTGCATGTTATTGCTTTTTAAATAAATATTCAAAACAATTGTTTAATTACGGTGCGGTGCTTTTTGAAAGAAAGAACAAGATATAATGTCCTTTTGAGTCACTTACAGGAATGTGAAAGATCCAAAACCGTTAAGAAATAAATCATGGATCAGTTTGGTAAAGCTTGTTGTAACTATAATTTCCGTTATTTCTAACACGAAGGGAAATCGCTTTTGAAGTCGCCTCTTTTCGGAGGGTCACCTACTTTTGGCAATTGCTAACACCTGTGAAATTGTATCGCTACTTTCGAAGGGTCGCTACTTTCAGGGAGTCGTTACTTCGGGAACTTTACGGGGTATTGTTCTTGCAAGCAGGATACACTAGAGCGGTACTGGGGTCAATAATTTTGTCAAATCAGGGAAATGGAAAGGGACATTTCGGTCCGACCGACGGAATGACCAGATTGGACAAAGTCGACCACCTTCAGAATGGGTCCCAAATATTCGGGTCAGACTGAACTGAAATGGTTTGTTCCATTTGATTTCTAACCGAAATTTCCGGAATTTTGGGCTGAATGGAAAGTGCCCTTGGTCTCACCTTGGGATCAAATCAAACCTGCACCCTCTGCTCTATTTACTTTTTGTAGGGAACAATTGTGTAGCGCAAAAGCCTTTATAGAAAGTTGAGGGGATGCCTAGAACTATACTCCTTTTTACTGGTAGTAATCTGATTGTTTTCTGAGTCACCTATGACAATTTGTAAAGTCATCTAATGACTAGTCCCTCGAGAAAACTGTTGCTCCCCCAAAAAATATGGTTTCATTTTTTATTAGTTTTGTTATATAGTCCACGACTTATGAAAGTAAATGTCATCGAGATTGCAGTATATTCTCCACTCAGAAACATTAATTCAGGAAACAGTTTTTGGGATATCTTTATGGCTGGCTGCTGAATTGAAAGCAGACAGGGCTTAATACGAGAACGTGATTGGTGATGGTAGTCTCTACGGGATCTCCTCTGTCTCCATCTTTAACCATATACCTCTATCTGCCTTTTTCTAACTAAGATGCAAAGAAATTGGACACTGATATTCTTCCATGGAAAACGCACTGTAAAGAGATAGTGACACTTGAGTGACTTCTTCACCACAAACATTAATTCGTTTTACTACTACAGTAGCTTCCAAGATGAGTTTAAGAAGTATTTCCTTATTCCTTTTGCAGGAAAAGACCGAGCAAGCCTGTCAATTTTGTGATCGAGTAAACACCAGGAGAACTGTCAAAAACCTAGAATCTGAAATCATCCAAAAAACAAGGCGAATACAGACAGAAGAAAAAAAGTATGTTCACTCTTTGTTTAACCTTATTAGCTCATGTGATTTATTTGCTTGATGTTCGTACAGATCTTCTTGACTTTGCATGATCCGCTCTGAGTTCGGTAAGTCTGTTTTGAAACAGTAAGCACTTTTTAACCTCCTAAAAATGATCTTTTAACTCCTTACAGTGACCAACCAAAAAATACACTATCAAAACAAATTTTGTTTTGTTAAAACCTTAGAAAGAATATTACTATTCAAAAGTTCTGTCAAAGAGGTTTAGTTTTAATGGTAACACGCTAGGAATTGATCCAAATCCTAAATAATTAGAGTCACAAATAACCTGGCCCTCAATTAGACAAAGAGAGAAAGGCATTCGTGTGCATTTAATCCAGTGCATAATTGAAAGAAAACTGCGTTTCTCTATCTAGCAAAGGGAAACATGAAGATATCACAAGAGAATACTTCGAAGCTAAGACGCGGTATGATAGCATTATGGATTCATTGAAAAACTTAAAACGATATAGCAAGGTAAGTATTTGTCTTGCCTCAATCTTCAATTACCCTTCTTTGGCAGGGATTATTTCTTCCTACTTTTTCCTCATTTTAAAGACCAAGCTAATGTACACCAGGTCAGATGGTAAATAACGTATACTTGTTGTGAATTGCAGCGTTTAAAGGTAGTAATGGAAGAAAGGGCGAAAGCGTTTATCAATTACCGTCACTACATTGCTATACGTGCCAAGTACTTTTTCCAAATGATGCTTTCTCAGAGAGGTTACAATGGCAAAATGGTATTCAATCATAACGATGAATCTCTTGCACTTCAGGTTGGTTCAATTATGATTCATAACTTGCATATTTTAGTTAACTGTAAGAATATTTAAAAATGGTGCTAAGGCAGCAATTACATATAAATAAACAACAAGGCAGGCGTGAGTCTTCCAACCAAGAAAAAAATTGCCAAGGCACATTTTGCTGGAGAACGCCTTTGAAAGCAAGCTTATAACGGACATTTGGAGAGTGGACTACCTGCAAGGTCACAATGGAAAAACCACCCTGTAACCCTTGGTTGCTCTGCTTGTTCTTTGTATACGGCTCATGAATAGGAGCAAAATATTAGAAATAAGGAAACAGTCGGATTTCCACATACCCAAAGACTTTGGAAGGATTTTGGATTGTGCAAAAGGAAGCAGGCAAACAAACAAAAGACCAGACCGAAAAACTGTCCACAAAGTGCTTGCGCTAAAGAGGATGGATAAGAGAAAGAATACAAGAAGTAGAAAAGCAGCCAGATTAAAGAGCAAAGACCAATGTCTGGAACTCTACCAAGATGCCATCGAACGCAGCTACTTCATCGCAAAGCTTGATGTTTCTGAAAATGACATTCCTAGACTACAGGAACTTTTTGCCACAGTTCAAAAGACGTTTGGAATCCTGAGGCTACAGGCTGTACACATTGACAACCAAAGGACGTTTTGGGTACACTGGATAGACAAGCGCTTGTAATACATATGATGGGAAAAGGGTTTGGATCACGGGAAGTCTTCCATGTTACCGAAGAAGGCAAAGGTTACGTAGTGGACAACACATGCCGCAGTGGAGACTATGTTTGCATCTGGACGATGCAAGCAAAAAGGTACAACAAATTGGTCTCGCAGTTCGAAACCCAGAGAGGTTTGGGAAGCTTCAGAGGCCATATGGCAGACAATGCCAACTGCCCCAACAAGCATCTTCATACGACATTCGAGTACCCCAAGGTGTAAGAACGAAGCTGTACCAGAATCGAGTGTTCTGTGTATGCGTGTGAAGACGGGAGACTATCAACCGAAATGCATAATCATAATTTCTCTTCAAGATCAATCGTTATCTGTTGTAACAAGGTGGAGGGGGTCAATACTTACAAACTTCTTGTGGTACTTACAAGTGACGATCTTAGGTAGGTCCATCACTTTGAGTACATTTCTAAGAAGGCTTCTAAGCATCTCTACTCCCTGAGGATTATTAAGAGAGTAGGAGTAGCTAGTGATTCGATTTTGAGGGTGTATTTAACAACTATATGACCTATTTTAGAATATGGTGTACTTTTACTGCAATGAGGTTAATAAACGGTCTTTATTTATTTATTTATTTAGCGAGGTGCGACCCCTCTGGAATTGGTCTACACAAGGCAAATGTGTGTCTGTAGTTCAACAGCCTATTAGGCAATGGATAACTCTACCAAACAGCTTGTGCTGCTGCTTCTTTCTTGCAGACTGGCCGCAAAACAAAATTTACATGGCTTAGGTGACCGTATGAAAACATGAAAAATCCAAGGTTTCATTGCTACTCAAGGAAAATTGTGTCTAGATAGAAAAGGGCTCACAAAGAGCCATAGAATGGGTGGCTGTGGATTTTGGCCTTCTTTGTTGCCCTTTCTTTATTGCGGAGATTTTAGAAGTGAGCCAAGTGGAATAGGTTTTGTCAAAGCTTTGCTGCTACACCAAAAAAGCACCAACAATACGCACATCGAGCAAGAAACCAGATTCACCAACGCGCACTAAACCCTAGCGATATTCTACATCCAACCGAAATGTCGAGTGGGTCTGGCCATCAAAGAAAACCCAAAGCTGTCGAGAAACCTCTGTTCCATCTGGACGAGGTGCCTGAAATCACCGAAAAACGTGATCTATCCACCTTGTTGCCGTCCAAATGAAACCTTCTTAAAGAGATTTTTGAAAGGGAGCAAAGGGTCGCGTGGAGAGAGGAATTCTATAGAAAGCAACCACAAGAAACAAATAGTCTTTTAAAAGTGAGAGCGGGAAGAGATGCAGTACAAGCCGCGTCTGGGAGAAACCGTTCTGGCCAAATAAAAATGCAGGAAGGTCACCCAATTCATGCCCAATGCCCAATACCTTCGACACTTTCCAAACACCCAATGGAAAATCCTTGGGTACAAACCAGCAAGATAAAATTCAATGGTTGTTTTGGAATGAGATGGGTTGGGTGGGGGGGGGGGAAGACAAGGTGTATCTCTGCAATTCTAGTAGAGAGTAAAGGTATATATTTCAAACGCGGAGTGATCTGTCTTTCTTGTCAACCGACAAAATAGAACTACAAATCGGAATATGACCACAAAAAACCCTCTATACAACCGATGGTTTTCGGATCAAATTGAACCCCATCGCTGTGGAATAAAAACCCACCCCTAACCTTTTGGAAAGCGTGCAAAGAATGTTGAAAAGGTGGAAGACCAAAGTCAACTTCTCGACGAATACCCCGAATGCAATGGAAGGCTCCAAGAACTCGAGAAATGCGCCTATCACAACCCTAGAAATGGAAGAAACTCAAGAGTTGCGAGACCACGTATTTGCAAATCTTGAGATTTCTTCTATTCCTTGGGTTTTGATGGCTCGCATTTCTCGAATTCCTCCTTTTGGAACCTTCTTTTGCCTCCGAGATATTCGTTGAGGAGTAGTCTTTGGTCATCCACCTTTTGGAACATTATTTTCAGCCTTTCCAAGAGGTGTGTTGGGTGTCTTTTCTAGGGCAATGGGATTCCAATCGATCCAAGAACCATCAGTTGTATAGAAGGTTTTTTGTGGTTCCATTCCCATTTGTAGTTCTGTTTTAAGGGGTTGGCAAGAAAGACAAATGCGCAGCATTTGGAATGTATCTGCTTTCCTCTAGAATTTTTGAGGTGACTTGTTGCAGAAACACACCTTGTCTTGCCTTCTCATTCCAAAACAGCCATTGGATTGTATCTTGCTGGTGTGTATCCAAGGATTTTTTTGGAAAGTGTCAAAGGTTTTGGGCATTAGGCATGAATTGGGCGACCTTCTTCCATTTTTTTGTTCGGCCAAAACGGTTTTTCCCGGACGCGGCTTGTCCTGCATCTCTTCCTTCCATCTCTTCTTGTGGTTGCCTTTTCCCGAATTCTTGTGTCCACGCTAGCCTTTGCTCGCTTAAAAAATCTCATCCGAAAGGCTTCCTTCGCACACCAACAAAATGGATAGGGTCACGTTTTTTGGTGTTTTCAGGACTCTCCTCCAGCTGTAAAAGGTTTCTCGACACCTATGGGTTTTCTTTGTTTGCCAGACCCACTCGAAATTTCGGTTGGCGTCAGAAAATCGCTAGGGTGTAGTGCGTTTTGGTGAATCTGGCTTGGTGTCCTGCTAGATGTGAGGATCGTCGGTGCTTTCTTGGTGTGGCAACGAAACTTTGACAAAACTACTTCCTCTAGGTCCACTTCCAAAGTCTCCGGCACCAAAGATCGGCCAACGGCAAAGGCCAAATTCTCAGCCATCCATTCTCTGGCTCATTGTAGGCCTTTTTCTGTCGCGCCAGACTTTTTTTTTTCCTGTTATCATACGGGCACCCCAAGCCATGTCGATTTTGACTTTTGGCCAGCCTGCAAGAAGGAAACAAGAGTCCAAGCTGTTCGCAAGAGCTATGCATTCCCTCTTAAGCAGTTAAACTACAGACAGACCTTTGCCTTTCTAGAGACCACTTTCAGCGGGGTCGCACCTCAGCTGCTGTGGTCGAAACCCCTTCACCTTCACACGTGTACATAGAAACCTTGCTTCGGTACAGCATCGTTGTAGCACCTACTTGCACATGGTATGGAGATGCTTGTTGGGGCAATTGGCATTGTCTGCCATATGGCCTCTGAAGCTTTACCAAACCCTTTTCGTGTTTGGAATTGGGAAACCACCTTGTTGTAGATCTTTGTATTCATCGTGCAGTTGCCCGTTTCTAGCTTGATGCAAACTCTGTGTTGTCCAGTATGTAACCTTTGTGTCTTTCGGGAAAATGGAAGTCTTTCGACAAAATTTGATTAATTTTATACACTAGGGAAAATGAAAGCAAAGGCAATATAGTTGGGTTCATCGAGGGCGACAAGAGATCGTATCAGTTAAGTTGTATCTCCTTTGGCCTTTGCTCTACTAGAGAACTGAGTATTGGCGAAGTGTTTAAGTCGTAAACAGAGCGAAAGATCAGATACTTCATCCATCCACTGATCGCTCAAGGATATAGGGAACGTTTCTTAGACTCGGTATTAAAATTCTCAAACACAAGCGAGGTGCACGAGGGTAGTATGCGTATATTCATTTTGCTTGATTTTGTTTTTCGTCTCCTTGATTACTTTTTGGTCGTGGTAATATTTATCTTTCAAATTGGCAAGTCTGGGCGTGTTACTTTTCTTGAAACGTCTGGCCGATGTTGTGATAACTAGTAAGTGTTAACTTTTCCAGGTGAACGTCGAGAGTGGCACCAAACGTGTTGCCAAGGATACGCGCTCGCTTTCTGGTGGCGAGCGATCCTTTTCTACCGTATCGTTCATTATGGCTTTGTGGGAGGCAATGGAATCACCTTTTAGATGTCTTGACGAATTTGACGTTTTCATGGTTAGTGCGATAGGGAGTTGGATTCGGTTATTAGGACATTAAAGGAACTGTGTCATTAAATTTATCAAAATTCCTTTAGTGGGAACTGACTCCAAACTTGGTGGAACGTAAAAAACTGGTTCAAACATGAAAAAGGGTATAAATAACACAGCAAATTCAAAAGGAGGCAAAAACAAAAAACAAACTTGAAGAAGATTGAAACGGATTGCAATTGAGAACTTGTTAGCCGAACAGTTTTTCAAACATGTTTGTTCGCCACGAAGCTCTGATTTTGTCACTTGAGTCATAATTAAGTTCCATAGCAAATAAAGACGCGTCAGTGGCATTATGAGCAAAATGAACTCGACAGCCGTGACACAGGCCTTTTAATACCAAGCCATCTTCCGAATTTGTCACATTCGGCGTAACCTGTACAGTTTTAACCACAAATGTCTGTTAGTGTTCGGTCAGTTAGTAAAACACACCCTGTTGCAATTGTTAAAAAGATTAAGAGTCACTTTTACGGTAAACTTAATTGTCAGTTTGTACCCTCTGACCCCACTTGTCGCCAACTGTTTATCATATCTGCAGGAAAGTAAAACGTTTCAAGCCAGTTTTATCCGTAAGAATTAATTTTAAACACTTTTCATTTCCTAATGTTACAAATTTTCAACTTGAATTTAGCTTTCACCTTATCCTGATTCTCAATCTGTCTACAGTGGAACCTCGATATAACGAAGTGCCACGGGACTGGCAAAATTTGTTCGCTATAACGAGGTTTCCTTATATCGAGGTCCTTTTTCATGTATTTTACAATTACTGGGGTAAACAAAGTCGTTCGTAATACTGAGGACTTCGTTATATAGAGGGTCGTTATATCGAGGTTCCACTGTACTCACTTTTTCAACTTTTGGTGGGTTTGGGAAATTGGAAGGAAGAGGGGAAAATGCACTAATTTTCGACGTGACGAGGTAGAAAAGAGCTCTCTTTTATGAACAAGGTAAAACTACTCTGAAAACTCCGAGCGTGTGAGGATGTCTTAATGTCTTTTTGTTATTGGTAGGACATGGTAAATAGGCGAATTAGTATGGAAATGATGTTAAAGGTGGCCAAAGAACAACAAGAAAGGCAATTTATCCTTCTTACTCCTCAGGACATGAGGTAGGTGACCGGCGTGAAATGTCATTGTTATATACTACTTATTAACCAAGGCCGAGGTCTGAGATTTTCCTGTAAGAACCGAACGGAAGAGGTTAATAAGTTATATAATATAATATGGCCTGTTTAGCGCTATTCTTAAAATGACTACAGTCGAACATCTCCACAACGGCCACCTTGGGGACTGAAGAAAGTAGCCGTTCTGGATAGTTGGCCGCTATGGGGAGGTAGGGGTGTAAATATGACCAAATTATTTTAGGGAGTACAACATGTTGATCATGCTAAGCTCACGCTTACTGTATCCCATGATGGTAATCCAGTTATAAATAATATATAGAGATAAAATGTGGAAATAAATTCGAATAATGTTTTGAATCAAAATGTTAATAAAACGAGCAAGGTTGGCAACACTGGCTTTAAGTAGCGTAAACAATTTATGCTTACTGCAGCAGCATAAATAAAAAAAATCGAAGTAGGATTGCCGCGATTAATCATCAACGCGCCATACGAATCACATTTCATGGCCAGTCTTGACTTTTTCATCAGTCGCTTATTTTTCTGACCGTTGTCGAGAGGTTATTTTGACAGTAGGGGTCACACTTTTGTGGTCGTTGCCGTTTGAGGGAGGTGGCTGTTGTTGAGAGGTTTAAACAAGAGCCAATGTATGGATTATCCGCCGGGACAGAAAATTAATTGCCGTTCTGGAGAGGTGGCCGCTATAAAAAACACCGGAAGTAATTTTCAACATCCGCCCGTAAGAGGTCATTCGAGGTCGTGCTCACTGAACCGAAACGAACCTAGCGATGCAATGGAGTTTCTTTGTCAATAAGAAATTCTGACCTGACCCCGCGATCAATTAAAAACCAATAACTGGTCAGCGGATAACATAAAAGACACGTTACCTCAATGAGTTTACACTTGAGCCCGCGATACAGTCATGTGACACTGGTCAGCGGATAAAATGTTTTGACAACTGTCAATAGGCCTTTCGTATTAGTTATTCATGTGATCAACTTTCGGTAAACATGAAAACAGTTCGCTTTTGAAAAATTTTGTTAGCACGAGCTGAAAGAGCATATTAAAATAAGGTAACCTGTTAATTTTCAGCCTTATATTTCAAACGTAGCGATCGCAACGGCGGCCTAAAACTAGAAGTATTAGTATGAGGAAAACAACTCTTGCCACCCAGTCTCGCAAGTGTCCGTATTAACGGGGTTTGGATGTAGACAATTGATAACTAAGATGCAGACAGACCGTATATAGAAATAGTTAGACAGAGATGTTACTTAAGTAATAGGCAGGAGAAAGCAGAATTCAAATAAAATGCATTTCGTGTTATAGTCGAAGACAGCTTTTTAGGTGTACTGTCTTAGCGGTGAAATCGAAAAGCCGTCTTGTGTTCCTTGCGTTCTCCTCACAGCTTCAGAAGTTATCATTTGCCTTTGTTTTGCAGAGAAATTAAGAGAAAAATACTAAATCAGCTTAGTGAAAAAACAGACGTAAAGAGGCAGTGTTACCATACACATGTAGAATGCGAGCAGTCTCTCTTGGCGCGAGAAACGAGGGCAGCAGTCACGCGTGTGGTCATTTTCGTCTCGCGCGTTTCACTCGACGGAGTAAGGAAAAAGAGAGACTGCTCGTAGTCTATGCGCATGCAAATGTTCTTGTGGCAATAAGCGGTACTGCTTAATTTCCAGTACGGTTTTGATTGTTTCATATGGCTGTTGTTTTGGGGACGATTATTAACTGTTAACCAACAACTTTTTTATTTTCAGTTCCATAGGACAGAGTAAAAGAGTAAAGATATTCAAATTACAAGATCCCGAACGAGGACAGACAACCTTAAACTTTCAAGCGCCCGATCCATAGATCTGCGTCCGTCTGACCAGAAGCATATCACTCCCAAATCCTCTTATTACATAGTTTTTTTTTTTCCAAGTTGTTGTTCAAAAAATTTATTGGAAAATAAATTAATTGGCCAATTGGGGGTCATTAGAGTTTTTAATAATCAATGCATTATGTAAATTACGTTCAAGATTTTTACAGAAAAGTTTACAGTGAAAGTTAGAAGACAAGAGTATAGTTAAAGAAAAAAAATAATGGCACAAGGTCAAAGTGAATTTCAATATTTGGTGATGTTACGGAACATCATCCTCAAAATTTGTTTGAAGCAAGCAGTAGTTAAGTGGTGTTGACAGGCCGTCTAGAACCCTTGCGGAAAGGTCGGTATTAAAGTAACATGTTTGCATTAAGATACAGACGTTAACAAGTAATATACTATTTTTACGATATATGTTTTATAATAAAAGCAGTTGTTGCCTGACTGTATTTCAACCTGTTAAAGTAGCCGTCTTGTTTTTGTTGTGCGACATGTGAAGAAAGTATCCCTATCCCGGGTTCTGCAAGGTCTTTCCCCTTCCCTATTTCACGGGTGTAGCCGAGTTGACACAAGAATAACATAACAGCCTACGTTCGATACAGCTATTTCGAGAAAGGTTGTCGCGAAAAAATGCGCACTCGGCAATCCTGAAAGGTAGTATGAGATATGATCAATACACTGTTCCTGAAGCTGAAGCTGTCAAACCTACTTTTGTTGTTTTTTCTTTTGGCACTCACAAACATACGTCTATGGCCTTTCGCGTCATTCTTTCGTTTCAAAATCGATTGAGCTAGCCTTAGAGTTGGCAGGAGATTTACCGTTTTTGCTTTTTTTTGCTTTGTATTTGAGGGCAATTTCCAAGTACAAGCCCCCGGGGGGCTTATATTTGGAGGGACTTATTTTTGGAATTTTACGGTATATCAAGCTTACATACGGTATGAATATCAGTTTTCAAAGAGCTAGAACAACAACAACAGTTTCGATCAAGTTGACTGCAGTTTTAATACTTTCTGTCCAACTTAAAACATTTGTTACCTCGGTTTACAATGACCCTTATATAATACATAAAACCATATATTCCACAAATAGAAAACATGGGGTACATTTGACTTGACGTGACTGTCTTGGCAAATATCCTTTCGGCTGGCTTTTGTTCAAACTGGAAAACAAACAAGAAAGCGATTCAACACAGTCACCCATGAATAATTTATTATATTTTAATAGCCAGTGTACAGGCGTCCCCCCTCCCTCAAGAAAAATCGGGAGAGGAGACGTCAATATATTCGGTTTTTAATACAGAGCCTGTAATAAAAGCTAATAAACTCTACAAGAGGATGCAAATTGTTGAGTTAGGCGAGGCTATAAGAGCCTATGATATCATGAACATTATGGAGTGGTGCCCATCGAAAAGCGTCAGCTGTAAAATTGCAGGTCCCATGACCAATTGTGTCCTCACAAAGGATGCCAAGGACAATTTTCTGGAAGATTATTGTTTGTACCTGCTATTCTTGTATCTCTAGGTTAACTTTTTAGTACTTTCACTCTAACATTCCGTGCTCGGTCCTGAAAAGCCAATTAGCCCTAACTCTCGATGAAATGATATGTCATGACTGTGTTATACACTCTCCTATAAATTGTTTAGAGAATCGTTTTGTGTTATCACAACTTGTTATTTTTTGTCTCGGATTAAAGGCTGAACAATTTATAAGTTTTAACTCTAGGATAAAGTTAATCACATTTCAAGGAACCAGGCCTGTTCTATAAGACTTAAAAAGAATGTCGAAAAACTTACCCGCGCAGCAACACTTATTAGTTTCAAGGGTGCATTGGTACTCAACACATTTCTCCATGCCTGGTGGACAGGGATCGTTTATGTAATAACAGGTAGTTCCTGCGTCCCAACACATTGGTCCTGAATGGGTGAAATAATTAACAATCAATGAATGAGGCTGAGTATCTTATGAAGAATTATGGAGATCTCGGAGGGTGTTATCCGTCGTGGCCGCAGGCCGAGGCGGATAACACCCTCCGAGATCTCCATAATTCTTCATATTATACGAAAGCCGAGTTCAATAATTGTTTTATTATTCATTCAAAATAATTCCTAGTTTAAAAACAAAGCTAAAACATGCTTACTTCCATCGAAGTTCACCTTCGATAGTGCACGTTTAGGGTTGTTCAGCTCCGCAAATATTCTCCAAATAGCAGATGTCGCCCTTCGAGTTGTGTTCTTGCTGTTCTTGCCATATTTTTACTATAATTTTGCTTAGTTCTTACCCTTGAGACGAGTGAAATGTCCTCCATTTTTTGTTTTCACAACCAAAACAACTCAACCTCGTCCCCAGGTTTTCTCGGTTAACGATGCATTAACCTGCAAGAACGCTGCATTTTTGACGTCACTTCCTCGTTAAACACAAAATTCTTCCAAATTTGGTCATCAGTAACTGGTTATAGTGAATCATGCGTGAGCTTTTAGCCAATCAGAATCGGGGAAACATTTTGAATGAAAAATAAATTATTTTGCTGAGTCACAAGATGTACTCAATACAGATTATGTGCACTTCTGAATTGATTTGTCACAGCGTTTGTTCATGTTGGCCCAGGTTGGTGCCATTTTTACCATTGCCAGTACTAACCAGTTTCAGTATCTGTCCGAATTTGCCCCATGTAAGATAATCTAGTGAAGTCGTGGACACTGGACTCCAGGCTGTGGTTTCCGGATTTCGGATTCCTTGTCAGTGGAACTTGGATTCTAGATTCCAATCGTTAGCGGGATTCCGGATTCCTTGAGTCGAGTTCTGGATTCCAAAACTCAGGAATCCAGATTCCACAAACAATGCCTGGATTTCGGTACCACAAACGGATTCCCTTATATACTTAGGGAGACCGAATCGGTTGGATATTTCCCCTTCGAAATATCGCCCTTGAACTACATTCGGAATTGAAAACATTTCAAATAGACGTGTAATATGTAACTACATTTACAAAAATTTTAATTGATGCCATCTGCCGAATTGTAAAAATTCGAACCAAAAAGATGTAAGTGATTATAATAAGACGGATATGTGCTTTAAAAATATTGTGTCAGCATCTGATAGTCAGTCGAATCCCGCTTTATGGACACCCGGCCACCCGCTTATTATTACGGACAGTTTACATTGTGTCTGGGGAAAGAAAGCCCTTACACTTTCTCTAATTAAATTCAACCCACGGACACTTTCTCTTATCAAAATAACAGGTTTCCCTTACCTTTAGTACTTCAACTAGGGAACCACTGCCTTTTGATATACCTGATGCCTGAAAAAGATATCCCTTTGGGCGCAGCCTCCGCATAAAGGCCATTATAGGGAGTACCTCCCTCCCGGGGGGAATTGGGGTCTGTGAGATATTGTTACCCAGTCTAGGAAAGGTTTGCAAAATTAATTGAAGCTGAATGCAGTCGATATTTGCTAAGTCTTTTAGGTTCCCGGCGATAGAATTCTGACCCTTGAATTAACTTACTTGGAAATCTTACTACATAGTCCACTGGTAACCAGTCATTAAAAGGAAACTCCAGGTAGTCTGAGTCACCTGAAATCCTCACGCCAATCTAAAATGAAATACGCACTTGATTATAAAGGATTTACTACGAGTGTCAGGTAATTTAAGGGGATACTGAAATGCGAATTCTTGTCGCGAGGCTATTAAAATTCTAGCCGCCACCTTTCTTCTTCTTAAAAAAATATAATTAATATAAATAATATAAATTTTAGTATGTTGCCATGTAACATTAAGAATGTTGATATTGACGTCGAAGTTGTTGAAGGAGCCATTCAAGCGGACTATCTAATGTGTCACGGTTCCTTACTTTTAAATGGCAAATATTCGTCATTAACACATTGTAAACGCTATTTAATTTTCCTACTTTTTAGTGATCTGAGAAGAAAGCAATTGACCTTGAAATAGTTTCTTTTTTTTTATTAGAAATGAATTGTCTTAATTGAAATGAATTGGGGGGGGGGGGGGGGGGGGGGGGGGGGGGGGGGGGGGGCCCCCCCCCCGAACCCCCTTGCCCTTTCCACCCCGGGCTGGGGTTGGGCTTTTTAAAAAAGGGAGGCCTACGCGGGTTTTTTTTGTGGCCACAGGGATATCCCTTTTTCTTTTTTTGTTTTCGCCTCCGCACAAGGCTTTTTCCTTT